TTTGTTCGACTTTTTACCAGGCGAACTGAACAGTTCTATAAAAGAGGAGCTCTACATGGACGTATACAGATTTGGGGAGATCATTCTGCAAATCCTGACTAATTTGGCAAACGCAGGAGGGACAATACATAGCAAGCCTAAGGAGGTACTTCTAAGAGAAATATACAGCGAGAATCAAACTGGTTCAACTGATTCTACACAAGAAGAGATAAAACTGGTTCTTGAAGTTGCTTTGCTCTGCATAAAAAGTAGGCCATCTGATCGGCCATCCATGGAAGACGCACTGAAGCTTTTATCAGGGATGAAGTCACAAAGAAAATAGCAGATATATTAAAACAAAATCCATGCTGTGCATTTCATAATGCCACATCACTGGGCATGATAGGTGTGACTTTTAGCTAATTCATATGAGTGTCTGTTTGTATTTGATTATCATACGTAGCTTATTCCCGTAGTGATTACTGGAAATATTTTGCTGTAATATATAGCGCCCTATAAGTTTGTGTATTTTTATCTTATAGATGTTAACTACATGGTTTTTTTTCCATGTTTGATGTAAAACTATTGGCATTATAAAGTTAAATTTTCTATTCTTGCAGCCATATAATACCATACATCAACCTGCATTTCTTATGTCTAATTTTCAAAACCATAACAACAGTTCTTTAACTTCTGCTACATATCGCAAGGGAAAGGTCCTCCAAAAAAAGTTAACGGCTAGCAAGTATAGTGAAAATATGTGGGAGTAAAGGAACAAGCCAAGTGAAATTTTCAACAAAAGAGAGCTAACAGTGAAAGATAAATTGAAACCTTTGTCAACGTGGAAGCCAGAAAAAAGAAAAAGGGAACCCTAATGATAATGATCAAGCAAAATTAGAGAACTGGCTATGGTGAACCTGAAAGATTATAATTACAGATACAGGGGATAAAGTTGAAACACAATTACAGGCTTAAAAAGTGGTCAAATGATCATTAAAGTATGGTTTTTTACATGAATTGATTGATGATAGCCTGTCTTGGTTTTCTTGTCATAGCTATGAAAAGTTTTCCCTTCTTGGTTAAGCAAAAAATAGGAAGACAGGGACAACCATTTTCTTGTAAATGAAGTCTGTTATCCAAAATTTAGCTCTACTTTTATTCAATTTTGCAAATCAACGGTACAGATTTTCGTTCAGACAAATTCACATACAGCTAGAATCCAAACCTCTTAACTTTGCTTCAACAGCATCCACAACACCTTGAAAACTATCAAACCTACCACTCACAACATCAACAGTCACTCCCAACCTCTCAGCTCCTGCGGCGGTCACCGGCCCGTGTGCTGCCACCACCAATTGAGGCCACCTTCTCCTCACCATCTCCCAGTCCCACCCAAACTCTCTCAAACTCTTCAATAACCCCTCCACTTCTCCACTACTAGTAAACACCATCGCATCCAACAATCCCCCCTCACTCAACTCAACAACTCCCTTCCCGCAGGTGGGTCCCAACCAACGCGTCTCGTACGCATCAACTCTAATTGGGACCCATCCTGCAGCCTCCAGTTCCCGGAGAAAATCAGGAACAACCGGAGGCTCCTCCAGTCCTACCACTCGTGGGACTGGACACAACACCTTCCGGCCTCGTCCAGTTCCAAGCAACTGGACGAGCCCGCTAGGTGTTGCTATTGTTGGAACTAACACGTTCACCCTGCTGATATCATCACCACAAAAATTAAGCAAGAAAGTTGAGTCTATCAGTTCTGCATCTTTGCCGAGCGTGGCGATGATAAATGTGTCCTCGCGAGGAGGTAGGAGAGGGGTTGTGAGGGAGAGAGCAGCGGTTGAGAATGCGGTGATGGCAGTGCGTGAAGGGAAGGCAATGGCGGAGAGGAGAGAGAGGGACTGAGGGGAGAGATGGAGGGCTAGAGAGGAGAGAGTCTGTTGGGTGGGTTCGGTGGTGATGGTAGGGCACCATAACGGAGTGAAGGATTTGAGAGTTAAGAGGTGGGAAAGTCTGGTGGCGTAGTTTGGTGGAGTGGTGAAGGCTACGGTGGGTTTATTAGAGGTGATGGTAGTGAGGTTGTGCATGGTGGTGTTGGTTGTTATCGTTGCCATCGTTGCCGAATCATTGGCTCGGAGTCCTTCGCTTTGGATTCGTGGAGAGGAGATTTTTGTAATTTTCTCACACTCGGTCAAATATGTAACTGCCAATTTTCTTCTTTTTAAAAAATATTATTATTATTATTATATTATTTTATAATGATCATCATTAAGAAAGGAAAATCAAGCTATAGTAAGAAAACTATCTTCTTCTTTTTCCAGTTTTATAAAGATTATTAAGTTTAGTTTAGTACATCTCATGGCCTTTCCTTACATATAAAGTCGACACGAGCAAAAATAATATATTAATGACTTGTTAGTTTAGTACGAGGCTAGCGGTCCATCCACGTTTTGTCGCGAAGCCAGTTTTTTTAATAAAGAATGATGCCCGGCGAATTTATCTCAAAGGAAAAGGAAAATCTATGGATCAAGTTATAGACATAAAGAAGTTAAATAATTTAGTTTTATTTTAATTATATTATAAAAAATAAACAATGATATTAGATTGATTAGATTAAACAATATAATAATAATTTTCCAAAAAAATAATAATCAAAAGGAGATAAAAAAAAATTTAGCTAGATTCTCAACCTATCAAGTATAAAATAATAAAATTAGATAAAAAATAACATGAAAAAATCAGTTGTGTTATTCCATTAAACCTGCAACTTAGAAAAAAATAAAATAATAAAAATCATAAAGCCTAGTTTTTTAGAAAGTCAAAGTCAATTTACATTAGTTTTTTAAATATGTAACCCGAGTAATTAGATTAAAACATTCTATATGGAAAAACCATGAAACTCAATTTCTAACTGACAAGCTATTTAAAAATACAAAAAAAAATTATAAAAAAAGATTAAAAAATAACAATTAAATAAATAGTGATTAAAGTCAAAGATAAATCTAAAAAGAAAAATCAATCCAGCAAAATGATCAAAAAACAAAATAAAAAGAATGTGTATCAAAATTGAAATAAAAAACACAAACATTTTTTTTACTCAAGAGGGGAAACGAAGACAAAAATCAATTTAACAAATGACAATAAAAAATGAGGATAAAAGCAAAAACAATAATATATTACAAATTAAAATTGAAAGATGTAGCTGATAACAAATAACACTTTAACAAGAGAGTTATGAATAGAAATTAAAAATTAATAGAGAAATAACTAAACCTAGAATGCCAACAACAAGAGGATAAAAATATACTTTTTAGTAACAAAGAAAAAAAAGAAAGGAAGAGATCTCACGTGCAACACATGTTATATCAACAGGAAAGAAAAATTTCAGTATTTCTAACAATATAATAAGGTGTTTTTTGTCATCAAAGATAATCCACACACTATTTAAAGTGCATAAGCATCTCTTATGTATTAGAGTTTGTGTCACAACTCTTATATTTTTTCTATTTAAATAATATTTAATTTATTATAAAAAGATCAATATGACTCTAATGAAACACAAAAACAAAAAAAACTGGAGTGAAAAGACAAAAATCATATGTTTTCTTTTTTTTTTATCATAGGGATAAAATTATTATTTTGTCGTGTTTTAAAAATTGATGTGACATAAACACTGGTAGTTTTAGTTGATTTTTTTTTCATCTTAAAGATAATTAAATTATTTCATTGCACTTGAAAAATATAAAAAGATAAGTATACTTTTATTCCATCTTCAACAACAAATAGGTCTTGATAAAATATCAAAATGCCCCCAAATATTAAAGCATTTAATTTTTTTTGTTTTTGAATGACAGATGTTATTATACTATTCCAATAAAATATACCAATAAATTCGCGTCAACAATGTTTTTTAATGCCAAGTTAAATTTGGTTAATAAAATAATTATTAATCCAATATAATTATTAAATTCAGACCCCACTTTCGCTTCAAGGCAGACCTTTATAATATCTTACATAATCAATTTTCATCAAATATATACAGGGCATCTCCGTGAAAACAAAAATCTCTCTACACTTGCTTTTCACTCATGTAAAATAGAGGAGACTTCCATGAAACAGATTTCCGTGAAAAATATAGCTATTATCTTCTCTAATCTATTTTATTAAAAAAATTAAAAAAATAAAATTATTATTACCAGGGATTGCACGAACTAAGTATGGTCTCGAGTTATTTGAAAAAATGACTTTTTATATGGTTTAGTAAATAAATGATTTAGTTACAAATCATTTGATTTTATTTAATTTAAAGGATTGAAAATAAATCCCACTCGCGAATCACGACTGATGCAAGGAGACTGGGCCGCTCCCAGGAGCTTAAGAATGGAAGCAACTACCTGGACATGACAACCCACAAAGAATTAGAAATTGGACCTCTGGAGCGAAGGCCAGCCGTTTGATAATAGGCTGAACCTCTGTAGTGGACGTCAACCATGCTTCTGGGCTTCAACGTGATTGTTTAGATAACATGTTTTTTTTTTTTTTTAATATATATTAATTTTTTTTATTATATTTATATTAAAAAAGTCTAATTTTTTTTTTAAACATAAATACAAAATAAAATATTAAAAAATTAAAAATGAAACGTGCACAATAAAAAGAACATGCTTTTTAGATTTCTATTAACAATAGTGGCCTGTTTACAAGCAAGTTATATTATTGTTGGACTAGAATTTACTATACATATTTCGTATCAATAAATATAGGTATACAAGAACTTGTGATTATATTGTTTAAAATTACAAGAGTGTTTTATTTGATAAAGTATTAAATTATTATTATTTTATTGTTTTAATATAAAAATATAAAAAAATTATTTTAATATTTTTAAAACATTTTAAAAAAGTATCCTGGAGCTCTTAGAAAACACACGTGCAACAAGCACGTGCCAACCCGCCAATTTCCCGCCAAATCTTCGCGCCAAAATGTGTGCGCATAGACTCCCTAAAGCAGCCCTCACCTTCCTCTCTCTCTCTCTTCACGGAAAAGGGGAGTGAGAGAATTTTTCAGCCAAGATGTCAGGGTGGGACGAAGGAGCTGTGTACTACAGCGACCAGGCGCAATTCCCGGAATCGGGATCCGATGCGGCGGCCGCAACTCCAAGCCGCCACACTATCCTCCGTAAACTCAAGGAATTCATCCGAAACTTTGAGGCTGATAAAAATGTTTTCCCTTACCGCGAAAGTCTCGTCAATAATCCCAAATCTCTTCTTGTCCACCTCGAAGACCTCCTCGCTTTCGACGCCGAGCTTCCATCCCTCCTCCGGTCCTCTCCCTCCGATTACTTGCCCTTGGTACGCTCACCCCCGTTTGCATCTTAAATTTACTCGAGTTGTTGGTCCTTGCTGCGTGTCTCTATGAGATCTAATTGGATTTCTTTGTCTGTGTTTAGTTCGAGACGGCGGCAGCGGAGGTGTTGCAGAGTCTGAGGTTGAAGGAGCAAGGAGAGAGCGGGGAAATGAAGGAGCCGGAGACGAGAGAAGTGCAGATTTTGTTGAGTTCGAAGGAGGATCCTGTTTCAATGCGATTGCTCGGGGTTAGTAGCTTTTTTATTTTTTATCTGATTAAATTAGGGGATTTGGAAAGCAAGCTGCCTGCAATTTACTTAGATAAAGTCAGTTTAATTCAGGTTTCAATTTATTGGCTGGCTGCCGCTTGTGGAAGAAAAAGTATTTAGGCAAGAATTTGTTTTTAATTCATGTTTTTGTGTGCAGGCTCAATACATTTCAAAGCTGATTAAGATAGCTGGGATTACTATAGCTGCTTCAAGAGTTAAGGCAAAGGCAACGTATGTGAGTTTAGTGTGTAAGAATTGTCAAAGTACAAGGGAAGTTCCATGTCGTCCAGGCCTTGGTGGGGCAATTGTGCCACGTTCGTGTGACCATGTTCCTCAGGTTTATTTCAAATCCTTTGTTGCAAATCAATGCATTTGATGGTTTTGGGGATCCAAATTCCATTTGTTTTTGTGCGGTTTTGTGCAGACTGGTGAAGAACCATGCCCTATTGATCCTTGGATTGTGGTTCCAGATAAGAGCAAGTATGTTGATCAGCAAACCTTGAAATTGCAGGAGAATCCTGAGGTAAAAATCTTGATTCTAGTCAATTGGATGGTGGTGTCGAGTTAAACAGCCTTTTCTGACTGGTTTTGTTTATGTTGATTTTAAAGGATGTCCCTACTGGGGAGCTTCCTAGAAACATGCTTCTCTCAGTGGATCGGCATCTTGTTCAAAAAATTGTACCTGGCACACGATTGACCATCATTGGGATTTATAGCATCTTTCAAGCAGCCAATTCATCAGCCTCGTAAGAATGATTATATTTCATAACTCCATGTTCGTGCTTATTGTTTACTGGTAATTGATTTTTTGTTAATGGTTCAACTCTGCAGCCAGAGAGGAGCAGTTGCGGTTAGACAGCCTTATATCAGGGTAGTTGGAATAGAAGAAATAAACGAGGCCAGTTCTCGAGGTCATGCAGCTTTCACTGTAGAAGAGGTACAAGTAGAGATCACCACTAATAACTGTTTTAATAACTTTCAGCACACACTTTTTTATTGCTCATGACAGGTTTCTACACTTTTTTAAAAAAACTTGGTTAGAGTTTTAGATGCATGGCAGTAGTTTTTATCAACTGCTGCTTACTTATGGGAAGAGATAAGAGGTTAAAATTACCCTAGAAAAATTTCTATTACTAGACATGCTCTTCTCTTCTCTTCTCTTCTTCTGGCTTATACTGAATGCTGCCTTGCTGCTAGGAAACCTCCTGCTTGTGTTTTGGTCACTGATCACTGGCGGAAAACTGATTCTTTGGACCATGTGCAGGTAGAAGAATTCAAAAAATTTGCCTCGAGAACAGATGTATATGAAGTCATATGCTCCAAGATTGCTCCCTCTATATTTGGAAAAGAGAATGTGAAGAAAGCTGTGGCTTGTCTTTTATTTGGAGGATCGAGGAAGGTACATACCTTGAACCTCAATTGTTTGTTGGTATGATGTTTATTGATGTTTGAACAACTGCTTCACGAGTGCAGAGTTTGCCAGATGGTGTAAAGTTGAGAGGTGATATTAATGTGTTGCTTTTGGGTGACCCATCTACTGCTAAATCACAGGTTAGTTCTTTATTCAGCTCTTAATTTATGAGTTGAGAGCTCTTTATAAGTTACAAGGTGTGTAGTTGTGGTCTCATTTACGCATCTTTCTGCTGAAAGTATTTCCCTGGTCTCCTTATTTTTTTTCCAGCATGGAAAATCTTAATTATGGTAAAAGTTCATGATGTGTGCACACACGAGCACCCACATGCATGCGTGTTTGTGTATGTTGATTATAATTTCCTTGCCTGTGAAGTTTCTCAAGTTTGTTGAGAAGACCGCTCCTGTGGCTGTATATACTTCTGGAAAAGGCTCGTCAGCTGCTGGTCTTACAGCTTCTGTTATACGAGATAGCAGCACAGTAAGTTCTCAGTCTTGTTTGGCATGTGTAGAAGTGGTGATTTTTCATTTATTGCTTTAGAAGTAATTTCTGTTTTAGCTAGCCAATATTCTTTTTGCACAACACTATGAAAGTCTTCTAATTTAAATCACAAATATTTGGCTTTCAGCGTGAATTTTATCTTGAAGGAGGAGCCATGGTTTTGGCCGATGGAGGTGTTGTCTGTATAGACGAGTTTGACAAAATGAGGCCAGAGGATAGGTAATTGAACTCAAAGTAGATAATCCCGTGTCTTTCCGCTTGTGATTCCTAGGAATTCTTAAGATTTTGTGTCCATGCGGCTCAGGGTGGCTATTCATGAAGCCATGGAACAGCAAACAATATCTATTGCGAAAGCAGGAATAACTACCGTTCTCAATTCTAGGACATCAGTGCTTGCGGCTGCCAACCCTCCATCAGGTCGTTATGATGATCTCAAGGTTAGCAGCTATGTCTTTTGGTTCATCTTTGCCAAATTCTTAAAAGAAAGAATTTGATGTCATAAGCTAACAATTCTATTGCTTGCCTTTCAGACTGCACAGGAGAATATTGATTTACAGACAACCATCCTTTCTAGATTTGATTTAATCTTCATTGTGAAGGATAAAAGAGACTATGGTCGAGACAAGGTAATTTGCATACTCATCTGAAACGTTTTCACTTGAGTTGATATTAGATCCTGCAGGGAAATGTGATTATTCTGTTATGTTTCTTGATGGATTTGAAGACACAGGACCATATAATCATGTATGTTGGTTTGCATATTTATATGAAAACTAAATATGATTGTTATCAAAAAGCTTATTTTGATGAATTTAAAATAGCTAGTGTTTTACATGCTTTCTTTTCTATTTCAAATTCCTGAGTCCTTGTGGCGTTTGAACTAAAATCTTCTGTTACAGATTATTGCTAGCCATATCATAAGGGTACATGCATCTGCTGATAGAACATCGAGCAATGGCAGAGCACCTAAAGAAGAGAATTGGCTGAAAAGGTAATCTTTTTGTCAGACTTAAGGATACGCTCTTTGCAATCCTTCTTTGGTGAGAAAACCATGAGAAGCTAACTGGTACAGGTTATGGCTGTTGCAGGTACATACAATACTGTCGAACTGAATGCCATCCCCGGCTGTCAGAATCTGCATCCAGTAGACTGCAGAATGAGTATGTCAGGTTCAGACAGGTATTTGTTGCCACATGCTAATTCTTTTCAAGAAAGAGCTATCATTTCTTTGATTGCTTGAGTTTAGATGCATTTTCTGTTAAACTCAATGTTTACACTTGTTACATTCCACGTTCCCTTCCATAATTTAGTTTTGACTGAGCAGATCTAATTACACATATTGACTTCATTATTGGCCAACCAATTAACAACACTGCAAAGGATTCTTTTGAAAATTGTTTTAAATTATTTATGCATTATCACCATGTGCATACAGCTAGAACGTTACGGGCTGCTAGTCTGATATCTATCAATCTGGTGATTTGATTAGGATATGAGAAAGCAGGCAAATGAAACTGGGGAGGCTTCTGCAGTACCCATTACAGTAAGGCAGCTGGAAGCTATCATAAGATTGAGTGAGGCTCTTGCAAAGATGAAAATGTAAGTGTAGTTATTAAGGTTGGCAAGTTTGAGAGCCTGCACAGCTGCTTGTTTTACAATTTTCCCTTTGTTTATAGCTTGGTTTATTGATTTGCAACTCATTCATGAACTACTAATTAGGTCCCATGTTGCCACTGAAGCGGATGTGATTGAAGCAGTAAATCTTTTTAAGGTTTCTACTGTCGAAGCAGCACAGTCTGGAATAAATCAACAAGTGACTCTCACTCCTGAGATAAAGGTTTGTCGATGTCATTGTTACTATTTTTTCTGTTTTTCAGTCTGTCATGAGTTTCTCAACAACCTGCTCTGAATTTTATTGGCATGCAATCTATCAATCACCTGCTTAAATTTTTTTTTTTTCAACAGCAAGCAGAAACTCAGATTAAGAGAAGATTAGGAATCGGAATGCGCATATCAGAAAGAAAGCTGATTGATGAACTTGCCAGAATGGGAATGAATGAATCAATTGTAAGCATCATTTAATTTCAATGCCATTCATTTGCTTCTCACTTCAGATATCTGGTTGAAACTCTTACTGTCACCTGACTCACCTCTTCAAGTTCTCAAGAGTTTGATGCCCGGAAAAGAGTGGCCAGTGGCCACATAGAAATGTCGTGACATTTTGATAAATTAGAACACCTGTTATTTGTGCAATAATATGCCAGCCTGACTGCTGTCCATTATATAATGGAATAAAGCAAGACCCATCGCTATGATCTCCAGGGTTCACGGGACTTGTATAAACCTAGCAAGTAGAATCTCTATCTCTGAGATCTGAAATCATAGATGCCATGTGTATTGTGTTTTCATCGATATTGTGATTGCATTTGGCAGGTGAGACGAGCTCTAATAGTAATGCACCAAAGGGATGAAATCGAATATAAGCATGAAAGGCGTGTCATTGTCCGGAAAGTATAATCTATGCAGAATTGATGTTCGTGATTGAAAGCAAATTATGAGAAGCTGCCGTTCAGTGATGGTAACTACGAAGTTAACCTAAGCATGACTCATGTATTTTGTTGGCATCATTATGGTTCAGCAATAATCCTGGCAACAGGTTAATCAACATATGCATGTGCAAATGTAGAATTGGCAGAAGTAAAAGGAGATTAACGAAGCAGTAATTGACTGTCTATTGATTTGAATTAGAGAATTTCTTTTTGTAAAACATGCTAGTGAACTTGTATTACTGATTTGCCAATCCTTTCTCATCTCCTACATTTTTTTCTTCTGGCAAATTCTTTTCTGGTGTTCATAGGCTGAACTGATCAGGGTGTCTGTTACTATCTTGTTAACTGCAACTTCTTTTATGGCCATTTGGTATGGTTGCTGGGTTTTTTATCCTTCTGAAAACTGAAAACTGAAAGCGGGAACTTGTTTGGTCGACGAGCAATTTGTTATGGGGATAGATATGCTCGCTTCTTTGAAAGAAAATGGCGAGACTCAACCTCTAGCAACTTTACAAAGCTTGGTAGAAGAGGTATAAAGTGCAGAAACAAACACAAGACATTGTCAACGTGCATGGGCATGGTTAATCACAAAACTAGTCCATTTTGGTTTTTAGTGTCAGCCAAATAATACATCTTTTTCCTAAAATCATATAACAATGCCCTGAAAACCTATTCTACTCAACTATAGCATAGTATTAACATGCGAGTTTTGGGCAGAAAAGTTTGTCCACAAAACTTGGAGCCACAGAGAAATACCTTTTCTGGTCTAGAATACAGCTTCCTTCTTGAAAATTTTGTCATGGATCTCTTGAAGTTTCAAGTTTCACACTGCTGGTATCCAACATCCTCCAGTGTTCATCAACTGCTTCAACTTTCCCTGTTGTGGAATCATAACCAATCACGGTTTCTTTAACCAAGTTCTTGAAATTCCTCTGCCTCAACCTCAACTGGCTGTACTTGTTCTTTACTTGGTCATGAGTAAACTCCTTATCGAATTTTTCTGTGTGCTTGCTCGACCGTTTTCCGTCCCGAACTCGAAAGAGTAGTGGTTTTCTTTGATCCCTTCTTCGCCTCTTCAACCAGTAGCTCAATAGGTCATCAAGGAAAAGGACAGCAGCATCACAAGGCCAACATTTTTTGTTGCCATTATTTTACAAACAGTTACTTCAGCTAACTCTTCCATTTTATCTAAGAGAAAAACAGGCAAAAAACACATTCAAGATGATCAGAGCACAAAATCAATGAATATATATAAAGAAAAAACAAAGTGATGATCAAGTCCAGAATTAACCCGTATAAAAAATGATTGCGCTTATCATTATTAACAAGCATTAGCTTTAAATTTCCTAATGAAACAAACACAGCCGAGCAGATCATTGATTCTAGCATTCTTCACTTGTAACAGAGAATGTCTTAAAACAAATCATCGATAAAACTGATTTTGTCGTACCATAACTTGCTGGAGTCTTGCTGGAGTCAGGAACTTGGTGGGAAGAAGAGAGAGAACGGTGTGCAAAGCGGTTTCGAAAACGCGTTTCCGTTTTTCTTTAAAGAGAGAAGGAAGAGAACGGTGTGCAAAGAAGTTTCGAAAACGCGTTTCCGTTTTCTTAAAAGAGGGAATGAAAACCGAGACACGTTTGCTTCTTTTGTTGCCAAAATGAAAAACGAAACGGATAACCTCAAACTAGCCCCCGTTCAGGTCCAATGACTCTACTCTGAATGGTCCTCTACCTATATTTGTATTGTTATTATTTTGCATTTACTCTTTAATATTATTTTATGATCACAAATATAATATTTTTGGGCATGTTTTGTCTTGAGTTAGATGAAAAAAAGAAATTCCTTACATCTTGTTACTAATTATGAACGCATAATAAAATACTAAAAATATAAATAAAATTAATTTGATTTAATAAATTAACTCGATAATTTAATGGTTTGAGTTAGTAAAATAAACCATATTTTTTTATATAAAAATAATTTTTTTAGATTTTCTATTAAAAAATTACCTAGTTTAATTTAAATTAATTAATTCAATCCTGGTCTTGGTTGACACTTGGGTCGGGTCTTGGATACAGTCATGTGGGGATCTAATTGAGGAGACATTTATAAGTTGGGGACTAATATTAGGTTACCCAAAACCGGAACAGAAAATGAAACCGAACAGCCCCAACCCCAAAACAACCATCAGTTGAAGCCTCTTCTGTTCCCCTCTGCGGTCTGGCCTGCAAGAAAACGATGCTTCTTTCTGATACTTTAACTCCGGCTGGCCATGGTCGACTGGGAAAAATTATATCCCCACTCTCTCTCTCCCCTTCTTTCTCTTCACGTCCCCTGAGATACGCAGTGCTCGGTGCTGGCTTTGCTGGTCTCTCCGTTACCTGGCATTTGCTGAAGGTACAGTACAGTGCAGTACTCTACTTTATCGTTCTCTTCTCTCGTTTCTTTCTGTAGTATTTTTTTGGGTAAAAAGAGTATGTTTACAAGTGCAGAAGAGTCCAAAAGAGAAGGAAATGAGAATAGACATATATGATGAAGTGGGTATAGGAGGAGGTGCTTCTGGTATTTCTGGAGGTCTTCTTCACCCTTATTCTCCTAAAGGTAAATGCTTCACTTTTCTCTTTTTTATTCTATAAATAATCATTCCTTTTGTTCTCTGAATCATCTTTGAGTTTTGATATATCATTTTCATTTAATTATTTTGTTGTTTGAATTCGAATTGAACTATGGTAATTGGCAGCTAAACTGCTTTGGAGAGGAGCTGAGTGTTGGAAAGAAAGTTTAATGCTTTTAAATGTCGCGGAGGCGGCAGCTGGACTGTCTGGTGTAGATGATTCTGATGATAGTTTTATTGTTAGGAGAAGGTTTGTTCTCCTTTCTTTTTTTTAATGTAAGATGTCAAGAATTTTGAATGTTCTGAGAACTAAATTGCGCATCTCGATGGCGCTCCGAAGAGTTATCATAGTTTGACATATGCTAACAAGTGATGTGGATTTACTAGTTTTATAATGCTGTTTGTTGTGAGTGATTTTGATTTGTTGAATTTTTATGATTTTTCTTTGAGTTTGGAAGATCATTTTGAATATTCATTCGTAACGTGGATCACCAAGCAAATTACTTTTCTGAAAAAAGATAATACCGAGTCGGAGATTCTCTCATGTTTTTGCTTTCGGGAGTTAGAAAATTGATTATATTTCTCATTTCTTGGATCTCTGCTTTCAACTCCCCCTCCCCCCCCCTTCTGATGTCTATCTACCTACTTCAGGGGCATCTTGAGGCCAGCAGTAAACACGAAGAATTTGATTGTATTGACTGATGTAATTCCTTAAGATCTCCTTATTAGAGTTTCAGTGGATTCTATCATGAACTATATATGTGGATCTTAGACTGATGTGTGCTGTATTATCTGTGTTCCGCAAGTAGAATGCCCAGAATTGTGATGCCAGTTGCAGAATTGAGACAATTGATGAGGACACTGCCCAAAAACTTGTGCCAAAAATACATGTACCTTTTAACTCAGCCTTTTATATGCCTGAAGCTGTAAATGTCCATCCTCTGCGCTATCTTCAGGTCTGAACAACTAATCCACTGTATTACTTGTATTACTCTGAATAGGATTCAAGTTCTTGCTTTTTTTAATAATGTTTTCTTCTTTCTTCTTTTATTTTACTAGGCACTCTTCTTAGCATGTCAGAATGTGGTGAATGAATCATCCACTTCTAGCCATGGACAAAAGGAGCTATATTTGCACAAAAAATCGGTTCAAAACCTCCTTGAATTGGAAGGTGATGGCAAGTACTATAACTTACGTCTATTCTATTTAGTATGTATGAGGGTATTTGATACATGCAGACGTTTGGTCTTAGATTTTTTTTGTTTTGTCCATCTTGGCTGTATGTAATGTGCTATTTGCTTGAATTTGATGCCAAGGAAAATGTGAAAAAGAATCATGTAACTTTCTTTGTGCTAGCTTTCTGGTGCTCTTTTTTTCCCGAGAATCAGTTTATGATCTAGTTGACAGGGTTTTTGCTGTATTGTCTGAATTGCTTGATTCAGAGCCAAGAGATATCTAAATATATTCACTTGAATTGGTAGTTGATTTGAGAAAATAGGAAACTTCCATTTTTTGAAATGTTTGCCTTCGATATGCTTAAACCTGTTTTCTCGTGCCCTGGAATTATCCAGGATTGAAAGTTATTTCACACGTGTGAAAGTGTACATTTAAAACATTCTGCTGCACCACGTGATCTTTGGCATGCTTAAGCTTCATTAGTTTCTTCCATGATTAATAATTTGTATTAACATTTATGTAGGTGAATATGATGCAGTGATAATCTGTCTAGGTGCCAAAGCAGACATGCTACCAGAGCTCTCAGGGAGGCTTCCGTTGAGGACATGCAGAGGTGTAATTGCCCACCTGCAGTTGCCTGCTAATATAAGGTAAAGCTTGTGTTCTCCCTTGCATTATCAATCCAGAAAGCCTATAAGCAGGGAATTGGGACACCGTATAGGGATGAATTTCTTTATTTGTGCAAGGCTGGCTAGCATTGGAATGCAGCATGAGCCTTCTTATGGGATCAGTAACAAGGTTGTTTTTGGTCTGTTATGCTTGAGAGTTCTCAATCTCGGGAATGGAATTTGAATTTTAGAGTCCAGATTGTCATGAATAAGTCTGTAATAAGCAAGATTTCCAAATTCTAAGATAGTTGAAATTCATACTGGATTCAGTTTGAAACAAGACGGCCTTATGTTTCATAATGGTTGTATTGAGTATCTTACAGGTTTCCAGGATATATGTTGCAAGTTAATCCTTAAGTACTGGTTAATAAGGCAAATGCCCAGAGAGTACAGGGTTGATTTGGGGTTGAGAGTGGAGTGATGCATTGAATGTAGGATGGGCAGGGAAATTATCACTTTCTGGCAAAACTCATGTAGATCACTGTTTCAGGGAAGAATATCCAGACTATGCCCCTTCAATATTATCAGATGCATGGCTCGCCATCCAGGGAAGCCGAAGTTTATATATGGGCTCAACATGGGAATGGAAATCAAGGAATTCTAATCCAAATGTTTCAGTGGATGAAGCCTCAAAATCTCTTCAAGAGCTTCTGCCAAAGGTATCTGCCTTTTATCCAGCAATAAAGGATTGGACTTTCACCAAAGCGAACGCAGGTTTAAGAGCAATGCCACCATTAACTGCCCAGGGATCACTTCCACTTTTGGGCTGCGTCAATTATTTTGTAGGCGAGAATGTTGCCGGTAAATACTGGTTATTTGGGGGACTTGGTTCAAGAGGTTTGTTGTATCATGCTTGGCTTGGAAATTTGATGGCGCAGGCTGTTATTTCTTGTAATGAACAATTGATCCCGTCTGAACTGACTGCTTGGAAGAACATAAATAGATGAGTAGACAGAATTCCCTTGTTTATGAATATGCAATCACGGTTCTTAATTGATGAACTTTTTAACATAATTATAAGAACCAGCCCGAGATACGACCCGGCTCAAGGCCCTTAATTGTTGGTTGACCAGGTCAACTCATGAGTCTACAAGTTAATTCATTTTTTTTTACAATTACACTGGCCTGCATGTCCTTGGAAATCATGCAATCTATTCTTCATCCACTGCTGGAGGTCAGATTCCATAGCATCGCTAACTTCACCCAATTGACCCTCTGCATTGCCACTTCAGAGGTATCCAACCACAGAAATGAGGGAGCAAGAGAGATATGGCATGTCGCTGTTCATGAAGTTGGTATTGCAATGGAAAACGGAACCTTCAATTTTCTAGTTCGGGGAAGGCCCCTATTAACTCTCTGATAGAAGATGCATTAAAGGGCAAGGCAGTACATATTTTAATAACTCTAAAAGCAGACATCATCTTGCATGTGCAGTTCTGGAAACACTTACAGAGAAGTTCCTGAAATACTACAATATGCGAAACATTTGTTCACTGGGATTGAAAATTGACAGGTATATAAACCATACATGAAATTAACAATTCTTCCTAGCTTGACGTCCAAATGTAAACCTGGCCACCACCGGTTGCTCCTGCTAGCATCCCAACCCTGCAGGGATGTGCATGAAATCTGCATGGAATAGCAGTCATGTGGGGACTCTGTAGAGTCCTGATTACTCGTCTTTGAGCTGGAGAAATGATATCGACTCCTCTTTTCATATTGCCAACATAGACAAACGAATCATCCCAACCCCATGTTGCTCTGCTCAGTCCCAGAAAAAGCAAAACAGAAACTGTTAAGGATATTTACTGTTTTCTTAGAAACAAATAACCTTTTGCATTCTCTTTACTTTGAAACAATACCTCCTGTTCTCGACTCTATATCGTGCAACTACAGACTTCGAACTTTACTATCATGTCCAGGAAAATTGGTAATACACTAAGGATGGACCACTTTTTTTTTTTTTTGGACAAGGAGAATCCTCATTAGGCGTGACGGGAATCATGCTCAAGCTCGGGGGAAGCTTGAGTTGAAAGTGGTTTAAGAGGTAAATAGATCATAAACCAATCCAGATGAACACTATAATTTTGGATGGATTGTAGTCAAGGAAATGCAATATACTTCATGATGCACTACAATGGAACTGGCAGATTATAATTTTGACAGGACAAACGCAAAAAACAAAGAACAAGCTCTGAACTAATCACGTAGAGATACAAAATTTATCTGGAAAAAAAAGGAAAAAGAAACTTGTCCAAATTCTGAGCATCATATATCGTTAACAAAAGATCCACTTTTTATTTATTTATTTATTTTAAAAAAGAATAGGATTAAACGAGCACTTGTCAAGTTGGCCAAAACCATACCTGAAACTTGAAATCCATCGACCTGTCTGATTATAATGGTGCACCCTAGAAGCATCCTCGAAATTAACTCCACTTAGTATACCAACTGTGTCATCAAAACTATTGAAAAGAAACCGGGGGAAAAGTCAATATCAATTACATTCAAGTCCCATCATTGGCAATTACACCATTTATCAAAAATAATGAGACAAAACCAAATGATTACTGCAAGCTACATGCCGCATACAACAAAATTCAAGATGACTAATACATACAATTTTGAAGCATGATATTTAGCATTTCTTAAAACTACCTCTCCAAATTAAAGCGAGAAAATGATAAAGGGAACATTAGGAAGCACCCTGAATTTCTACCACAAAGCAAAAGAGAAAAGACATCCACTCCAGTTTCAATCTGTTTATAATGCATATGTTGAGAAGCTTGATCAGACAGTGATTAGACCAAAGATTGATGTTCCAATAGTATGGATACAGATACTGGCCAGGTATAAATTATTATTTTTTCCAAGTATGAAATTGTATGTTTAATAGAACACTGCGGTATGATAAAGCCAGCCACGTATACATCATGTCCAATAAAATGAATAGATGCGCATACTGAAAAATCAAACATATGCAAGTGCATAGAGCTGTGTGTACCTTGTGCTTGCAAGTGAGCTTCCAGAGGGTGAGAAGTAAGCAGAATGCACAGCCCTCTCGTGATTTACAATCTTTAAACTTTTGGGTTTACCTGCATCCACTTTTCTCAAGTCCCAAAGGCAAACAGTTGCATCTGAGGAACTAGTGGCCATAATGTTAGGGTTTTGTGGATTGAAATCTATGGTGTTGATTCTGTCTTCATGCAGGGTCCATTGGGATGAAACACTTCCTGTCCTATCATCCCAGACACTCAATCCTCCACGACCCTCGCCAAAATATAAGCTCTTCACATCATTTGGATGTTGAGAAAGAGAAAATATAGCATCATCACAGGAGTGTACTAGATCAAATACTTCCTTTTCAGCATCCATTAAACGGAGATATCCATCGTAACAGCTGGTGAAGATCTGCAATTGATTTTAACAAATAAATGAGCCAAAACCTTACAAAACTCAAATACATACTTGATATTAGTCAAATAGATTGGCAGGAAATCAATAGCTTTACAGAAATGCGAACAATTTCACTGAATCACATTGCCAGTACTAACATGTATTGTGTGTATTACATTTGCTTAACATTCATTTTTGGGTCTAGCTTAATCGATGTCTATCAAATAGAAAAGGTCGAGCAGATCCATAACTATCTATATAACTTCTTCAGCAATCTGTAACAAACTGCAAATGCACCGATTATTCATCCACGTTTCAAATTTAACAAAGAAATGAAAAGGAGCATTACCTTGGATAAACAAGATTGCTGGAACAAAATCCCAGAAATTGGACCTGTATGCGGGCTATACAAAAATATCCCGTCACCTTTCCCCCCTTCACTATCCACATTCCAAAATGCAACATTGCCAAGCTTATTCCCAGCTACAACTATGTTTACATCGTCCCGCGGAAAAAATATCACTGTCATTATCCTCCCTGGCATAATCCTTGCAATATTCTCTGGCTCCAAACTCATCGATCCCAAATCAACAGAACCCTCAAATTCCCTCTTCTCTATCTTAATCCCACAATTCAAATTATCACTTTCAACCTTCCTCTTAACCGGGCCGCACAAAACCCTATCATGCCCCTCCTCTTTAACAACCTTAAAACAGTCAAACTCCTCTTTAACTCCAACACCCGATTTGGGTTTCCTTTCAAAAGACAAAAGTGTGTCTATAAATTCTCTATCAGAACCAGTTCCGTCGTAAGCATCCTTCATTTTCAGCGGACCCAGGACACAGGGCGAAGGCTTTTCTCGGTTAATTGATGTCTGATAAAGAGTTGCTTTATCCGAATTCTCATTAGAATCAACATCTAAACAATTAGAATCAGGCGGCATTCCTCGTGTACGCAAAGATCGTCTTATAACAATTGGAGTCTCAGATTTCTTGGGTTTCTTCTCTGGACTAACTTTATATGACTTTGCTGACCCATCTCTGCCATCAAAACACAAAAAAAGACACAGACCCATTTCTTAAAACATGAAACCCACATAGTCTTTCCTTGTATTTATCAACAAAAAAGTGAACAAAACGAGAGACAAAGGGGAAGGGAGCTACCTCGAGCGTTTGGTGGCATTAGAAAGAAGAGAGGCCTTAGCGTGGAGTTGAAGAGCAGCCAACATTTCATCATTTCTTCGAATGTTTTCGAGTCTCTTTATCTCGTATTCTGTTAGTTTCTGAGTCGCCATTGATGCCCAGAAAAGAATTTTACAGAGAAAGAGGCAGAGAAAGGTATGTGGTTTTGTGGGCATTTATGTTTATTAGGAAGGGCATTGGTGGATATTGGCGGGAAAATGGATCTTGGCGGGAGATAGACTAATCGGTGCTACGTAGCCTTATCTCTTGCCGTTTGAAAATGGAAATTTTTATAGAACAAAGAATTTTGCATGAATTTAATGATGTGTGTATTGGGCTAGGTTTTGAGTATCCTTGTCGGTCCCGAACCTAGTTCAGGGTTTGATCTATTTTATCACGATTAGGTTAATTTGTTTTTTTTAATAAGTGACTTAACATAGATTTATTTCAAAATAGTGTTATTTTAAATTAAAAAAGTTAAAAAAATTTTAAAAAATATTATTTTGAATTAAAAAAATGTGAAATAACTAGTTTTGTATAAAAAAATTTAAGTGTAACCAGATCATAAATTATAAATAATATCTAAAATATTTAAAATAAAAAAAAAAAAACAATTCTAGTTTGATTTTAGATTTTTTAAAAAAAACAATTCTAGTTTGATTTTAGATCCAACAAGTAATGGAGGCCACATAAATAAACAGTCTTGAGACTTTTGAGAGGAAACACCGGCTAGAGCTTTGCATACAAGATGCCAGAACTTGAACACTTGTGAACAGTTTATACATTCCATTAATTCTATTTCATTATGGATGATCAATTTTAATTTTAATTAGAAAGGAAATAATTTTGGTGAACCAAGTTGGTTTGAGACGTCACTAATTATTTTAAAAAAATGGAATATAAATTTTGCTCAATTTATGGCATGCTAAAAGTGGGAATATCACTGGTATGAACCAGCAGAATGTATGAAATTTTGGATCATATGAAAGGTTTTCTTTCCAATCCATAGCACCCTCAAATAGCTGTGTGTACTGTTTTTAAAGAACTGTGAAAGCCAGCAAAAACAATTTGTAAGACCACAAGGACTAACAGAAGCATGGCTGAAGGAAACATGGTTGTTGGGGTTTTAAACCCATCATTCTTCTATTAAAACTAGCCAGCCAAAGCTTGTAAAGGGAAGGAAAGAAAGAACAGACAGAGATTATATGATGTGATATTATAGCTTAACCTCTTGAGTTCTTCACTGTATTCTATTCTCCCCTAGAATTCTTCACCATTATCAGAAAAAGCGATAGCAAATCTCCCTTGTGAAGGTCCCTCCGATATTTTGAATTAAAAATAAATCAACGGGAAACAGAAAAAAGCAGCTCTGACATTAATTTCATTGTTTGTTCTCTCTGAACTGTCTCTCTGTCTTATTTGCGCATTCTTGTTTTTACAACTCTTTAACATCTTTAGACCGTGTAGTGTTGTTGGATGGTCTCAATGTCTAGCCCCTTCATCTTCACCACTGAGTCAACATGTCCCTTCAATGTGTGAAGCTCTCTGAGCCTGCAAAATGAACCCCAATTCATAAGCATTGTATCCTCGAAGGAACGAAATTAGTGACAAATGATCTTCAGCTAGCTTAATCCTAGTATTTTCCATGTTGTTACAAGAAGTTTTAAGGTAGGCTGCTACCCTTTTAGAAGTCTAAGTTATAGTGTTCGCATCTGACAAGAGAAATGACATTATTGTAGATTGTGTAGGCTAAGTAATTTACCTTGCTACTTCGGCACGCTTCTTAGCCTGCTCAGCTAGCTCATTCAACTCTCTGTAGGTGGTCTTGTCATTGAACATGGTTTCTGGGGGTTGTAGACCATGAAGAGTACGTTGAGCGGTAGCCCATTGAGCTTCTCTCTCACCCTTTCCATAGTCCTTCTTGTTGGTGAAAGCAGTCTGAATAGATTTTAAGAGGGGCAAAAAGGTTACGCAATTACCAAAAAAAGGAAAAAGAACTCGAAAGAATGTTGATGTTTTTATTGTTTCAAAACCTTGTTTTGCAGCAGATTATCCCAGGCCTTCCCAGTCAATGCATAGCGAATGATGAACTTGAGGATATCGAGAGGGATGTAGGTGATAATGCTGTAAATCCAGATGATTCCTGCCCATCCCCAACCAACCCCTTGGATTCTTGCGAAGGACCAGTTTGCATATACAGCAATGATAGTTGCCATCTTCAGTGGACAAGCATTGCAAGTTAGTGCAACATACAGCCATCCTTCAACTCGTAAAGAAGATTTTACAGTAGAAAAATAGTAGTTGAGACGAGAAGGGAAAACTAGAGGGAAAAGAAAAAAATACTGACCAACTGTGCGACAACGAAGGCACTAACAAGTAAGAGACCAGGGCACTCAACGAAGGACCAGCTCCTTGACCTGGTTACAAAGATAAGTGCCTGACTGATGATGCTCACTTGAAGGTAAAGAGCTGCTGTAAGCTCATCTGGTTTACCTCTGATTGACCTCACACCGAACTTCTCCTGCAGACATTAAAATGTTAAAATTTGTTTTTAACTTACATCTTCGATATGAGGCATTCAGAATGATTGACTTACGGAGAAGAAATCTGTATCATGAACAAGCCAGAAGAACACCACAGTCATGATTGACATATAGGTTCCAAGGACAACGCCTGTGGCAAAGATTTCCTTGAGCTTCCATGAGTCAGGCACGGGAGATGGCTTGACTCTATCTTTGGAGATGGTCATGATGGTTCCGTCATTGAGAATAGCAATGATCAGGACCATGAATGGTGAGAAGTCGAACTTCCATATAAGAGCAACAAGCAAGAATCCCAGCACAATACGGATTGTGATGGAAACAGCATATATTGTGTAGTTCTTCATCCTCTGGAAGATGGCTCTGCTTGTCAGTACAGCACTGATAATAACACTCAAACCTGGTTCTGTCAACACAATATCTGAGGCACCCCTAGCAGCATCAGTTGCATCTGCCACAGCAATACCAATGTCTGCCTTCTTCAATGCCGGCGCATCATTGACACCATCTCCTGTCATACCACAAATGTGCTTCCTCTCTTGTAGCTTTTTAACAATCTCATACTTGTGTTCTGCATATCAAAGTTTTGCATGAGTTAAATATTTAAGTTAGCAGCAATTTTATGAGAGACTGCTCAAACATTTGTATCAGTAATAGAGGTAAAATGAAAAATTCCATTACCAGGGAAGACCCCGGCAAATCCATCAGCCTTCTCGATAAGCTCATCAACTGGAATGCCAGCAATGCCCTCATCCTTGCTGTTACCAAGGAGAGATGATGAAGGATACATATTTGTACCCATCCCAAGCCTGCGGCCAGTCTCTTTGCCAATAGCAAGTTGATCGCCAGTTATCATTTTAACATTGACACCAAGGTCAAGGGCTCGGCGGATAGTCTCAGCACTATCATGCCTTGGAGGGTCGAAAAGAGGCAAGAGACCCACAAACTCCCATGGTCCTCCTTCGCTTTCCTTGTTCTTCTCTGGAATCGTCTATAAACAAGGAAAAGAAAATAAGCATGTCATCAGAATAAATGATGTTTCAGTTGGTTCGTCTACCTTGTTATATTCCAAGGAATCATACGAAATGAGTAGCAAAGTAAATTATTGGATTAGTCTACCTGGCGAGCAACTCCTAGGGAACGAAGGCCACGATCGGCAAAGTTGTCAATGATTTCATGGGCCTTTTTCTTCATCTCGCCTTTGAGTTGGCAGAGGTCGATAATCTGGCATATAAATAGAAAATTAAAACTGACAATATAAGTGTTAGTTTTCAGATAAAACATGCAATCAATGCTTACCTGCTCAGGAGCTCCCTTGCTGCTTCTGTACCAGTCACCTTTGCTGTCATAGTAAGTGATTGCAGTGCGCTTTTCCACAGGGTTGAAGGGCAAGAAATGCACTTCGGTGATATCAGCTCTTGCCTTAAAATATCACACGAAAGCAACATAGATTTCCCATTTCAGTGACTCCATGAAATTTATATCGAAAGTGGACTAACGAAAACCACAAAGTGTTCACAAGAAAAGAGATTATATTATTGAACTGTTTACCTCCTTGGGGTCGACCAACATCCCAAAAATTGAAGCATCAATGGCATCCTGATTCTCAATTCTGGCAGCCCTGGCAGCGTGTAATAAAAGGGTATCGCTGTCCATGTCCTTTGCGAACACCTGTAATTACCAATATTGGTAGTGAGTATTGAACCTTAAGACTTACAAAATCATGCAAGGCAGATCTCCTTAAGAATTAGATGATTTGGCCTAGCTCACTGACCTCAATAAGGTTCTTGTCAACGGTAAGCTTGTTGAGGGTTAGAGTTCCAGTCTTGTCGCTACATAAGACATCCATTCCAGCCATTTCTTCAATGGCAGTCATTCTCTTGGTGATGGCACCTTGTTGTGATAGACGGTGAGACCCAATAGCCATTGTCACGGACAAGACTGTAGGCATGGCAATTGGGATACCACCAATGAGAAGCACCAAGAGGTTATCGATACCCTCTCTGTACCTCCTGTTCTGGATTGGGTACATCACTATAATTTCAATCAGCATACCGATAGCAATTGAGCAGATACAGAAGTTACCAATAGCTGTCAGCACCTGATAAAGAGTGTGTGAAGAATTATACAAGTAATCTATATGAAAAATTAGTTCCTTGTGTGATAAAATTAGAAGTAATGGCCAACTTGTATGTATCCTGTGTAACAAAATGAAAGGCGAGCGATACCTTTTGGAAATGACCAACATTATTGGTGTTGTCAACAAGGTGAGCTGCCTTGCCGAAGAAGGTATGAACACCAGTGGCGATGACAACAGCCTCGATTTCACCTTGCTTGCAGGTTGAGCCGGAGAAAATTCCATCTCCAGGATTCTTTGTGACTGGAAGGGATTCACCGGTCAGAGCAGACTGATCGATCTTGAGCGGATCTCCCTCCATGAGACGAGCATCAGCCGGGATAATATCTCCCAACTTGATGCTGATCAGGTCTCCTGGTACCAGAATTGCTGCATCTTGCTCACTCCATTTTCCATCCCTCAAAACCTGCAAATTTAATTTTATACACAATGAGTTACACTCTATTGTACATGAGATGCTGATGAAAGAAAACGGCATGAATTAGGATGGACTCAAAGTACCTTGGTTTTCGGGGCAAGACCGGCCATCAAAGCAGCAGCGGCATTGCCTGCATTGTTTTCTTCGATGAAGCTGATGGTGGAGTTGATGATAAGCAACACAACGATACCAACAAAGTCTTGCCAATCCGGAGGTTTGCCTCCTCCATTGGCCAAAGCAATGGCCATTATGGCAGCTGCTTCCATGACCCATGATAAAGGATTCCACATGAAACCCAAGAACTTGAGAAATTTGCTCTCTTTTTTCTCCTCTAGCTTGTTGGGGCCAAAGATCTTAAGCCTCTCCTCGCCTTGTGCGCTGGTCAACCCTTCCCTTGTACATCTTAGCTGGTCAAATACCTCTTCAACAGGAATTCTCTCCTACATAAACATAAACACAGAGACACCCACACATAAACAAAGCATTAATGAGAAATCTCTTTGTTTTCCTTTCATTTTAAAAACATGAACCATCAAAACAATGTGATCCAGAATGTCAAATCCAAATGAGAAAATTAACATGATATATACATATACCGAAGAGAAATGCTTACAAGATCAATATTCTCATTTTTTATCTGTTCCAGCGAAACGTCCCCCATGGTGAAGGATGAAAATGAAGATCAAAAACAAGAAAATCTCAACCTCAAGTTTGTTTCTTGGGGATGCAAAGTCGTATCCGTAATCTGACGGTTCATTCTGCTTAGATAAAACTATCAATGTGAATTTTTTTATTGAGAAATTTGCTCTCTTTTTTCTCCTCTAGCTTGTTGGGGCCAAAGATCTTAAGCCTCTCCTCGCCTTGTGCGCTGGTCAACCCTTCCCTTGTACATCTTAGCTGGTCAAATACCTCTTCAACAGGAATTCTCTCCTACATAAACAGAAACACAGAGACACCCACACATAAACAAAGCATTAATGAGAAATCTCTTTGTTTTCCTTTCATTTTAAAAACATGAACCATCAAAACAATGCGATCCAGAATGTCAAATCCAAATGAGAAAATTAACATGATATATACATATACCGAAGAGAAATGCTTACAAGATCAATATTCTCATTTTTTATCTGTTCCAGCGAAACGTCCCCCATGGTGAAGGATGAAAATGAAGATCAAAAACAAGAAAATCTCAACCTCAAGTTTGTTTCTTGGGGATGCAAAGTCTCATTCAATAGGCCTAAAAGATACCCTTCATTGGCCTATCAAAGAGACAACAAAAGACAGGAGGAGGAAAACTAGAGTTATTTGTTGCCCTTCAGAAGACAGCAAGCATTTGTTTTGAAAACGTAGTAAAGTTATATAGCCACCTCCTAGCCATGAAAAAGGAGTGAAAGCTCGAGTAATTCGGCCTTCTTTGTGTTTGACTCTGTGGTTTCCATGCCAAATTTCCACCTTTTCTGGTGGTAACAACATCACATAATAGAATGCTTAAAAACGTTGGCGGTCATATTATCTCTCTAATGTCATGTCAAGATCTTGATAGAAGAAGGTTCAGAGTTTTATGGGACGAATAGGAACCGTCTCATTTGTGATTTAAAGCCCAATAAGGGGAAAAATGCATGCATCCATCTAGCTGATTATTAAAAAACTACCAAGCCTAACAATGCATTCTTTCTCTGTAAAAATGGCGGCCATTCAAATTATGGAAAATTATAGTGGTGTTCAAACTTACATATTTGAATTTGCCTGCTTAGACCTTCAATCGTGTATCCGTAATCTGACGGTTCATTCTGCTTAGATAAAACTATCAATGTGAATTTTTTTATTTTATTTTTTTGGTATTGAAAGCTCATAATGCATGCTTTATAGAGAATCTGATTATTAAACTATATGCCAACAAAAGATTATCTAACTTTTTTGAGGAAGTCGGAATTCAAAACTTGATCTTACTCGGCCAAACCTCATTAACTCACTCATGTTTATAATAACCTGATTGATTTAGACAAATCAATCCGTACCTAACAATATTAATACCAAGAAAAAAAAAAACCCCTAACACAACATCATTGATCCTGTGCACTAGGCTCCTTCCGTATCAATTGAAGCCGACGACTTTATCATACGACAACTATATTGCTACTGCTTTTCATATATATATATATTTTTTGTGTTTTTCTTTATTGGATTTGTTGGTATTAAATATTAAATTATTTATAATTATAATAGTAATTACAGTTTAAAATATTTTATTTTAAAATATATCAAAATAATAATTTTTTTAAAAACATAAATTATTTTTAACATCAACACATTAAAACAATTTAACAATATTTTTTTAAAATCAAATTTTGAAAAAAAATTACATAACAATCTTATTCCCAAACAAGATCTTAAATTTGTAACTTCACCATTACCAGGCCAAGAAGGCGATTGTTTGTCTATCAATCCTGTATGCATGCATTCATTAACAACTCGTAACAAGGCCAATGTAATAGCTTTGATTCAAGTCTATCAACAAAATTACATAAATCCAGCATCCCACCAATAGGCCAATAATCCCATTCTTAAGCAATTAGAATGAAGCATTATATGATGATCCGAGATCGATTTGAGTCTCTAGACTTAGCAGTTTCCTTGCCACCAATACAGGCCGCATCACTAGAACAGGGGCCGCCTGTGCCTCATGCAAAGATGAGCAAACCAGGACGACAACATACAGAGAAATAAAATAACGTGGGCTGTTTCCTGACTGTCCAGTTAATGCTGCGAGTAAACACACATAAAATTGACAAAAGACAAGGTGCACAAGTTAAACTTATGACCTATTCAAACAGCAAGTAAAACTCGCACGAGAAAAGAAGAATTTCATTATCTGTATTTTTAACAGCCATCTGTTAATTCCCATCCCAAGTAAAAAGCGGATCAAGTATAGAACAAATCATGAAAACACAAGCTCCATCCCAAGTAAAAGAGGCCGTTGCTGAGGTATGGTCCCAAAACCAAAGAAGTGAACCTCCAACATCGCAACAAACAATCAACCCTATACACATCCATATTAACCAGTGATGAAAATTTACAGTAAAATTACACAAAAGGCAGGCAACAGTAATCACAGATTACAGCTCTTTATTAGACCGCAAAAGGAAAACAACAAAGAATTCGGCCAACCAACTTCTATCCAAAAAATTCACACACCCGATAGAACATAGACTCCCTTTTTCTACAAGTCACCTTATTTTTCATACTAGAATACAAGTTCGAACGCCAAATCTTGCTCATGCAGTCCCTAACTAAGCTAATTCTCCAAGTTAAAGCTTATAATCTTTCATTCATTATTTCTAACCCCTAATCGCCATGACATCATGATTGCCCTATAGGATTTCATAAAACTTTGCACTAATTTGTAATTCTATGCAGTCACCTTTAAGCCATTCTTGGCCCCTTAAGATTATATTCTGAAGAGCAAAACAGAGGTTACAACTTGCTTCGCTTCTAAGGCAGGTACACAACTGCAGCTCAAACAATTGAATGACTAGGCCAGCTAACTCAGAAGACATTCTGATCTAACACTCCAATTCATTGAAATACATCAATAAAAAACATACATTTTGAACCCCTACCAGTAGACTTACTTTCTAATTCTTTTTCCTACACCAAAAAAGGGACCAAGCCTGAGATAATTTGAGTCATTCTACATGTTAATTTGAGTCATTCTACACATACTGTGTCCAAATTTCAGTTCAGCCTTCACAAAAGATGAAATAAAACATGAGGCAGGAGTCCAACCTTCACAAAAAAGGGACCAAACTATAGAGACTAACCAAAATATAGGATAACTGCAATGCTAAATTCTTTCTCTAAATACAAATCAGTCCATGCCCTCAAACAACTCCTGCAACCCCAAGATTACATCTAAACAATAAAGATGAGAATCATATCTACTTCAACAAATCCTACCCTGGAACAAAGGATACTTGTGACTCGCACCATTACCTCATCCAAATACCATTATTCCCAGTTTTAAGAACTATTCAAAATTCTATATTTTTCTAATAGAAAATAATCTAGCCAATTCCCTCATCACCACTGACCCTCTGCCATACCACCATCTAACACCTTGCTTCCTTCTTTAAAAGACTTCCCCAGAATATTAAAAAAAATAAACTTACTATCTAGCACCAAGGCTGTGAAGCATTTCAAAACAAACCAAAACCACTTATTCTAGTCCCCACCAGTAGCTTTAACCATCAAATAAAGTATTTGAAAGCTCACAAACCCAAAACTAATAGTAATCAACACGATCTAAGATTGCTTGAGATAAACAAATGACAGGATAGGACGAACAGATAACAGAGATGAGGGCAATTACCCCCACAAACAAACCTAACAAACAAAAAAAGGGGGAGCGAAATAAACGTCAAAGACTATCACATTAGCCTGAATCAGTCTTAGCCATTTGTTGAAATATAAAAGCAAACTCAAAATTAAACAGCAATCCCTTCAAATTCACATCTAAGTAAGACTTGTGAATATTTTAAAGTCTCGCAAAATTAAAAACTAAAAAGCACTTAAACAGCTCAAACTTCAAATCATTTCTTCCAGCTCAAAACCCTAGCTTGGTACGGCGCCAGTGCCTGCGCTTCGCATTGTACCTTCAAAACGACAACAAAAAAATCACCACTTGAGCCAAAATGAGCATAAAAAAGGGTAAAGGAGGATTTAGAACCTGATGGTATTGTCAGTTCTCATGCGGATCCAGTGAGGGATGGGCCTGTTCTGCCTCATCTTCTTCGCCAGCTTCTTCTTGATCCTGAAGGTCTTGTGTGACGGCTACAAAGCAAACATCAAACGTCGGTACCTAAGTAAGACACATGTATCGCACACAAAAAACATGGAGAGGAGTGGATGGAGGGTACCATTTTCGCGGGTCTGGGGCTTGAAGGCTGGAGACTGGAGCAGCCGATCGCGATAGAAACCCTAGTTTGCCTTGTTTCGAAGTTTTATAGAAACGAGAATTTAACGGCGTCGTTTATTTGATTAGCATGATGGGCCGGCGTGTGTTGGTGCTGAGTGATGGGCTACGAGAGAAAGAAACGACGGCCCGACAGATATGGCCTGTGGATATCAGGGTGAGCATAGAAGTTGTTAGGGCCGAAATTTATGAGGTAAGCCCGGAGTTATTTGAATAATTAGCCGCGTGCTGAAAACAGCTTACAGTAAAGAAGTCGAATCTTCCAAACCTAGTTACAACTCTAAAATTTATAACTTGTGCCATTTTAAATTTGGATTAAATTAATAATTTTAATTTTAAATTAATTTAGATTAATTTAATATAAAAAATAAAATTTATAAAAAAAATAATTCGTAAAAAATTATCAAAGTAAAAAAAATAACAATAAAAAAAATAATGATTAAATTTTATAAGAAAACTAGACTTAAGTATGATGAAATTGTAATAATAAATAAATAAAAATGATCCTAAATAAAATAAATAGTAACTAGAAAAATAAAAATCAAATATAAAATATAATAAATGTAATGGTGAAATTAAAAAACTTTTAAGGTAAAAAAAGCAATAAAAAATTATAGATTAATTTAAAAAATAATTCTAAATTAAAAATATCAATTAAAAATATGAGAAACAAGTCTAAAAGATTAAAAAAAAAAGTGAAATTGAAAAATAATTTTAATTTTATAGATTAATCAAGAAAAAAAATAAAAAAAATATATCGAAGGGGCCTATTTAAAATTTTAAAGAGACTGTTGTAGTATTCAAGGTGGAGACAGAGAAGAAGAAGGAGAAAATGCTAATGGATAATAAAACCGAAGATGCGTTTAGCACACGCTCCAAGTTAATCTTACTTAAAAGGGCAATGTTCCCATACGAGTCATATGCATGGGGCCTCTCTCTTTTAATGTCCCTTTTAAAGTGCGCTAACCCATTTTAGGGTCCCCTGGACCAATCATAAAGTCATGCATCACTTGCTCAAAAAGCCCTCGCTTGAGGTAGCCTTCGACTTAGAAGTTAAGTTACTTTACCTAGAAATCGTTAAGAAATGGTTTGACGAAGTTATCCCGGACATTGTCGACTTAACGGGACATGAGCATTCTAATTCATTTGAAATCCGACTCGGCGTAATAGTTCATTTTAAAATTCAGTTAATTTGATATTAAAATTAGATTAAATTAAAAAAAAATAAAAATTTAATATAATTTTATTGACTCAAAGGGTTAATTTAACAATCTGGTTGCAACTTTTTAATTTTTTTTAATTAAAACTATATTATTTTAAAATTTTAAAAAAATAATCCGGATAACCAGATCAAAACTCAAAATCTAACCTTGAATTAGATCAAGTTTAAAACCTATAATTTAAATAATTAAAAAGATTGATATTTTTTAAAAAAATAGCCATGAATTCTAAAGAATTTATTAACTATTTTTTAAAATTATTTATTTAATTAATTATATTATAATAAAAATAAATATTTTTAAAATTAAATATCAACTAAATACCAAGATGCTATAAGAAAATTAAAAAAAAATCTAAGATAAAAAGGATTAAAAAAAAAAAAAAAGGAGGAGAAGATATGCTACACTATCTATTTACATGAATAACAAAATATATGTGTTTTACTATGTTTGTTTTATTGTAAGTATAATACAAAAAATTGTATGAAAAATTAAAGAAGACATAAGAAATTCTTCACAGCAATACATGAATTCAAACTAAAAATCACTACGTTGTATAAGAGTTATCTACAGTATTATTGTTATGTTCATCTTTATAATTGAAGAATTATTGTTGTAAATCTAAGGACTATTATGCGCATATTAAAATATCAAGGACTATTATACTCATTATAAAGAATCAAGGAGCAAGGACTCTTCTATTATGGTAAGAAAACAACCGTTGTCCTAGAACAAGTACAAGACGAGATAATAAAAGCAGGCACGCGCAGAGTCGAGCGTGACTGTCAACTTTTGCTATTTCCAATCCCAGCAAGGCACGCAGCTCTGAAAAAACCACTATAAACCTCTATCTTCTCTTCAATTCCCTCTCAAACCTCTTTTTATTTTATTTTTTAATTTTCAATCTAGGGTTTTATTCTGGGTTTTGACTGAAACATTTAGTCATCAGATCAAACGGTTGTGGCTTATCGTCTATAACAAAACACAATGCCTCCTCGTGCATCAAAGCGAAAAGCGACGGCCCCACAGAACTCCTCCTCCGTCACATCAGCTGACGATTCTCCTACTGGTACGATTGCCGGTTTGGTACCTCTCTCCGTGAATCTTTAATTTCTTGTTTGGTTTCTGGGAAACCGCGGGAAAATTAAAATTGAAATTCTGGGATTTTGAATATCTTGTAACTTAATTGAACAAGAATCAATTTTTTTTTATTCTTGTATCAAGGATTTGATAATTACTTGGAAAGATGCTGAAAAATATTTCAAGGACTAAATGCAATGCAATTAGTTCGTTATCAGTTTTAAAAGTTTTGAGCTTTGCCATTGAAAGTTTTATTTGTTAGTATTTGATTGTATTGTAATTTATTTTTTATGAAAATTGGATTGATTTTTTGTTATTGTGTAACTTAGATTAATAACGTTACTGATTTGCATAATGATTTGTTTTATTTTATTTATAAGTTTGAAGAGACAGTCTGTTTTGGATTTTGTTCATTAATTTTTTTTT